TGCAGATAGCTGTTGCTTGTTTGTTGTCAGTGCTGCTTGGTGGGAAGTGCCCTGGTGAGCTCTGCTCTCCAAGGACACACTCACTGTTCGTTCGTGAGAGTCACTCTTCTTGCTGTCTTTTTCAGCTGCTGCCTGATGTTGCGGGGTGCTTGTAACCACCTTTAATTTTCAAGTATGAGGCTGTGGCCTTTGGTTGACCAAGCCAGGCAAGGAGCAGCTTGTTTCTCTTTTCAGCGCCATCTCACGAGGACAGTGCTCGGTACTGTTCTTCCTGAAGTTGAGGTTTCGGCTCTGTTTTGTGCTGGGTTTATATAGGTGCTGGATGGAAAGTCTAATGCCAGTCTTATATGAACACTAGATGTAAATTACCTCGTAACAGGACTTTCCTATTGCTGTGATGATTTGAGATAGTGCAGTTCTCGCTAGAAATTCTTGGTGTGCTAGCAAACTTCTCTTACAAATGCTGTTGTAAGCTAATTCCATTTTTTTTTTCATAAATACACCTTTGGAAAAGAAAACTGTTGAACTAAAAGGATGTGTTGTATTCCATTGTGTGCACTCAGGCTTTCATAACTACGTGATCTATATTGAACTCTTAACTCTGCTTCTGGGACCAAGTGAATTGCAGTTAAATACATCAACATGCTGGCAGGCTTATTTATTTATTCACTTACTTTGTTGTTTACTACATTTAAGTGGCTAAAGCAGTAAGTCAGGTTTTCTAATGTTACTCTGTACCCTGTCAATAACAACTGTTTAAGTAATTCAATTTTTTCCTGCTTTGATCTATTGGATGTGGATACTCCCTGTCTGCCCGTTAAGTAATTCGATTTTTTCCTGCTTTGACCTATTGGATGTGGATACTCCCTGTCTGCCCAAGGGAGCGTGGGCTGGTACGTAATGACTGTGGTGCATTTTCAAACAGCGAGTGCTGCAGACAGTGGATCTTTTTGTGTAGATCCCGTGATGCCATTCGGTTGCCCTATTCTTCCTGTGTTTTCCCACTTCCAGGACGGCCACCTGAGTACTGCCGGGCTTTTCAACATTGTTCTTTTGTTTTAGTTACAGGAACCATAGCTGACTTGGCCTCTCAATTTGCAGTTTCTTCTGCTGTTAAAAACCAGATGCAGAAAATGCAATGCCAAAGCATGCTGAGCTGGGAACTTCTCACCGCTTTGAGAAACACCCTCCTTGCAAACCTTCTACACTAGCGCACCTCCAGGGCAGGCTGGGGTGTGGAAAGGGTGGGTTTGCTTTCAGGCGTAACGGTGGTGCTGCCCATGGGCTCCCAACAGAGAGGGGAAGCGTCTGCCTCTCTGTGGGATGGCAGAGCTTCAGGACCTTGGGCTGCTGCCCCTGTGCCCACCAGCAGACCTTGTGCAGCTTGCAAAGCGAACAAGCCTTGCGCTGTTTTCACATTGAGAAAGATCCAAGCAAACAGAAGTAAAAGGTATTTTGAGGTGGTTTACATTTCTCAACAATTAACACGTAGCACAATGATAACCTCGCTGCTGTGCACCACAGAAAAGTCAAGCGACGGAAAACAGCAAAGAAGGAATTAATTTGCCTTTATATCCCTGCTCCCCTCCCCACCAAAGACATTGTGAAGACTTGCGGAGTAATTGCAGTGTGCAGCTTGTGCTGCTGTTTCTAAACCACTTAATTGTTTTGGTTAAATGGGTTTGGAGCAGCTGAAGGACAGATGAATGTGCCCCCATGAATTTAAAACAGGTATCTGTGTCTTTGGCATGAGCTGCAAGAAAGAGACATGCAAATCTGCAGTGCTGACTTCTCATCTGTGTTTTGCAGTGTCTCTGCTTCACTTCTTACCTTTGCATCTATCCCAAGGATGCTTTCAGAGGCAGGTTTTTGCAAGCTGCAGTCTGAAATGCGGACGTCATGCTGCATTAGCTTCTCTACAAGCAAGCGAGAATGTTACATGAACTCCTAGTTCGTATATATTCGCTCTTGTATCTGGATCAAACCCCCCTGAATGTTGGGGTCTCTCTCTAATTTTATTTTTCCAGAGGTTCCCCCAAGAGACATAATCTTGTTAGCTCACAGGAACAATGTGTCTTTATTTGTTCACAATAGGCTGCTGCTATTGCTGCTGAATGACTGTTGTCATTCCTAGTAACAAATTTTGCCTGTCAGAAATAATCACTTGGTACAGAATTTTAAGAGCTGCTGTTGAAAAAATGCATCCGATTCCACATTGTGTGCATTTAAAAAATCCGCGTATCCTTTTGTTTCATGTGCTCAATAAACTGTACTGAGCTTCCTCTTTGAAAATAATTTTTTTTACTAAAAGAACATGACTGTGACTTAAACTGTATTTGCCAACACACGTTTATGTAATGCAAAATTACAGACAAAAATATATGCAAATATAGCTGTTTTGTCCAGTTATCTGTAACAATGGCCTTCGCCAGCTCAGCTGCCATTGGAGGAAAAGTCTTTAGAGAAGACTTTTAGAAATTTATTTTTCTGGAAAAGCCTCACTTTGAGGTCTAAGGTGGCTAGCATTTAATCACAAATCTAATCCAAACATTGTCCTTCACATCCCCTGTACAGTCTGATATCTGAAGCAGGTGGATGTATTTTGCCTAGATTTTAAAGAATCTGACGCGGTACGCGGATGCTCCAAAGCAGCAGTGGTGGTGGAGCGTAGCTTTGCTGCAGTTTTGCCACGTGCACGAGAGCCAGTTTCTGCTGGCTTGTGAACTGTGCTGCTGCTGCGTGCGGTGCTGGAACAGGCTAGGCCTGTGGGAACTGATCAAGAGATGGATTATGGAGGCAAAATTCAGTTGGTTATTTTGATAACTAAATAACACGTGCTTAGACAAATCTACCAACCACATCAGCTGTTGACATCCTGTGGGAGTTTGTGTATGTAATGGAGATGGAAAAGAAGTTGATTTTAGTTATACTCAAATGTTCTATTACATGATTTATTCTGACTCTGGACTAGAAGATGGTAAAACTTTTTATATAACAACTGTCAAGGAAAATTAGGGCTAAGCTACTTTATTTTTAAACTTCTTGCAATAATGTTTTTCTACAAGTATTTCAGAAAGCCAATACCATTTCAAATATTTTTTGAGCTTTTTATTAATTTTGTATTTTAACTATTAAATGACTTATGATAAACAGTAAATATGAATAAAGATAAAATAACGTCTGGGAGCAAAGACATAGGAGCGGGTCACCTAGGGAAGGAAGAGTAGGAACCACTGCAGGGAGACCTGGACACCAGTGGGTGCGACCACGTAGCGCGGCTGGAAGGTATGTTTGATTTGTATGTGAAGAGGCATCTCATCATTGTGGGGAAGGCAGATCAGTCAGTTTGTAGCAAAACAGCCACAGGAGATGACTGAAGGGGAGTAGAATGATGAAGTAAACCTCGGTGGGTTGTTTTAGTCTTCTGTCGTAGGTATGTTTGCACTGCTCCCTTTGTTAGTTCCTGCAAAGCTACGTTCATGTTAGCTTTTAACAGGCTCCTAGAGACTTTTAAAAAGAAATACTTCACAGTGCAAACTTAAGGAGGGAACTGTAGATTGCAGAAGTACAGAGCAGATAAATAGCTCTGAGCAGAGGACATCAATCAAGGCAGTTAATCATTGTGAGAGATGCTGGGCTGATTCACCCTTTAACAGCTTTTTTTCCACAGTGGTAGTCTCACTGACTTGGACTCACATTTGTTTTTTCCTAGAGGATGGCCATAATGAGATAATAAATGTATGGTATTGGGATATTTCTTTAGACATTAACTATGCAAAAGTTAGCACAACAAAAGAAAGAAGCTGAGAGTGAAAAAATAATGAATGAATTAAATTAATCTTGTCTTGTAAGTGAAGCTAATCTTTTCTGAAAAAAATTAACTAGTTCCCTCTACACTGCTGATCCGAAACCTTACAAAGCTAATTTAGCTTTTTCCAGCGTGCGCACAAACGTTGCGCAAGTGTTTGCTCACCTTGGCAGATTTCAAAATACCTTGAATTTTAAATTGAACTGAGAGCAAACTAAGTGAAACCAAGTGATACGTTGATTGGCTGGGAAGGCACAGGAATTTTCTTTGTACGCGAGTATTAATAGTTCCATGAATTAATGGATCTCTGTAGGCAAGGAGTTTTTTGTTTTCTTTTGCTTCTTTGAAAAAGCTCAAGCGTGAAGGAAAGCAAATGGTGTCTTGGCTAAAAACAAAACAGAAATTACATTTCTGATATATTAGTGTTGGGTAAGAGGTACTTCCTGTCGTGGTAGCAATAGATCACCTGCTTCCCTGCCGTCTAGTCCTCAGCATCTGTTTGCATATTTTATTAATAGCATAGGAATGATGTACGCAGTAAGCTGTGATCTGTCTCTGCTGGAAGATCAGCTCTAGTCTCAAGGCATATTTGTTAAACGGGGTTCTTCCCAGGAGGTTTACAGATAACAATGACATTTCATTTGGACAGCAAGCCTCGGTCCGTTGCTACTAGAGAGTCTGCACCCACTGGGGGTGGAGGGACATCCAGTGAGGTGAAAAATGTCAGCTTGGTCTCCTCTTTTGGCAAAAAAAGGCCTCTAGTGTCTTTCATAGAACACGGGGTACCACACTTCTAAGTGTAAAGTTTTACTTTAACCTGTGTCCTGGATAATAATTCAATGACCTGTTTTATCTATGTATGACTTCCAGCCAGGCTTTCTGCACAGGTGATCTAGAGTGAAGAAGAAGTCATATTATTGTTCATGCAGCTTGACTTTACAAGGTCATTTATGTTTAACTAGCTGAGGCAGAATCACAGAAGAGCTGAGGTTGGAAGGGACCTCTGGAGGTCATCTGGTCCAACCCTCTACTCAAGCAGTGTCACCTAAAGCACATGTTCAGTTTCTTTGGATTGACATTAGAGAAAGGGGAAATTGAAATGAATGACACAGTAATAGTGGCTGCATCCATAGGGATGTGAATAAGTGTTTGCTTTTCTTTTTTTCCAGAACATCAGCCAGAAGGAAATCTCTCAAGATTGAGTCTTTTTGAGTAAAGAAAAGATAAAATGGCATCAATGTTGCTTAGTCGACAGCTGACCTGTTGCCTGCAGCAAAACTCCAGGCTGCTTATATGTGGTAAGTGCCTTTTTAATATTTTCTTGGTTTGTATTTGGTAAGCATTCACTTTAGGCTGCTGCAGAAAATTCCAGTGTGAACATTGCTGGAGTTTGTGTGGTAGTGTTCAATCTTCCAAAACTTGAAGAATACGATGTTCTGCGTCTTAGATAACGATGCAGTTGTAGTCCAGAAGTGGCCCACAAAGGTGCTGTGGTGGTTTGTGTGGGTTTTTTTGTTGTTGTTTTTTTGTTTTGTTTTGTTTTGGTTTGTTTTTTGGTTTTGTTTTTTTTTTAATCCTGCAAGAAAAGAACTCATTTAGTTAAGAATTTGCCCTGTGAACAAGCTAACTGAAACAAATCTCTTCAGCCCTTGGAACTCTGCTCTTAGAGAGCAGCTTTCTGATACTACACGGTGCAGAGATGAAACAACTATTTACCAAAGTTAGCCTTTTTTACTTTGTGCTATGTAGCTAGACTCTGCCTGTCTTCCTTTGGGGGGGGGGGGGTTGTATGACTGACATGAAGGGGTGGCCCTCCCTGGGAATGTGTGTTTCTGCCTGTAGTTAGCTCTAGGGCAAAATAAAAATCTACCACACAGCATCAAGCTGCTTTCTCCTAAGTACATAACGACAAGTTCTTGCTTGGCCCTGGCTTGTAACTCGGCATGCATTTGTGTATATTAAGCCTGCAAGCTCTATGAAACAGATGTAAAAACTAAATTTCTCTTGACTTTGTTGGACAAAACAGTGTAGGATGTAAGATCTAGCATCCATTTCATGTGTTCTTATACTGAACACAGTATGACTGGATGGCTGTTTCTGTGGCCGAGTAAAAATTAATGTTTCTTCTCTCCTCCAGCCCATCTTCTGCAGTGCTGCTGTGCTCCTCCTGCCACTGCCAGGCAAACACAGAACCCTTCCATTTGCTCAGAAACTTAAACATGATTGATTTCCTTTTAAATAATACACTTTGGGGAGCAACTGACCTTTGGCTAAAGAACACAAAGCCTGGTCTTGTAACTATTGGAAAAGTATTAGGTCAGTGTTTCAGCACAGGATGCGCTTCAATTTATGGGAGTGACGCACTGGTTATGTGCGCTGTGCAGGAGCAGTGATCACTTGGTCGGTGGTGGACAATGGAAAGTGCTGGCAGCAACCAGCCCTTTGTTAGTTGTCAGTTCTTTGAGCTAATCTGCCATCTCGGTATTGTTTAATGCTCCCTGTCCCTCCCAGTGTCTTGCGCACTTCTGCGCTGCTCCCCAACCACAAAGACAAATACATCACAGTGGTGCAAGATACTGAGGTCACGGGAGGGCAGATGCACTAACTCTTCCTTTCTCACCATTCCAATGAGGGAGTGTAGGTCTTCAATAAGAAAGGAAAGCATCTCTGGGCTCCATCAATCCATCCTTGCTTTCAGGAAACTTCTAAGTGGGAAAGCCTGCTAAAATATTGAAGCGAGGAATAGAGGGCTTTGGCTGCAGGTTGTATGACAGACCTGTGGCCTTTGGGACTGAATGCTTTGTGTGTGTGTCCAGAGATGGAGCAAGAGGAGAACCCCTCACCAGGAGGAACTGTATCCTGGCAGTTTTTTAGCCTGCAACATTCCTGGCTGACAGAATAGTGAGGAGGCTCTGACACTTAGAGCAGAACTTGGCGCTTCAGGCTGTTTTTCTGGTGAGCCCCAGCTAAGGTTACAGTGCCACTGGTCTCTGCTGGCTTGTAGGGGAATGCTGTTGTTGGGAAATGCTGAGGGCAGTGTCCAGGAGCGCTCTGCTCCAGGGTGCTCTCCTCCAGGGTATATTTGAGCATTCAAGTTCAGAGCTTTGCAGACTGAAAACGAGATTTGTACATTACTCCACCAGAAATCCCACAGTGCCATTGGGTCTGCTAAATTGTTTTCAATGGATACTGAAATGACAGGGTTTGCAAAGAGGGATGGAGGTGAAGAAGAGGAGAGGAGAGATAGCCTCTTGGTAGAAGTCTCTGTGTCTGTGGGCTGTCGTGTTTCAGTTGTGTGTATGCATTAAGCATAATAATCCTCTTCAGCTTGAATCTATGATAAAATTATTTACAGAAAGACTTTTTTTTTATCCTTGATTATTTCTAATTTTTAAAGCGAACCTGGGAATCAGCATTGTGCTGACCCTGGGCATGAAATAAAGTGGTTACTGACCAAAAAGGGGCATGTGAAAAGGATGTTGGCAAGTTTGCAGTCACTGCAGCAAAGAATTACATACACATTCACTGTTGTAAAACATGTGGGAACTAAGCTTTATATTAATCAAAATATTTCTAGGAGCCTTTTTTCTAGTTGTATGTGGGGGTTAGTGTTTAATTCTAATTAATATGGATTTCAAGCCTTCAATCTTTTAAGGAACATGGGAAAAAAGATAAGTGTCTGGTTGGAGAATCTTTTTTTACTTAACCATCGCTTGTAGTGTTCTCATTACTAACAGTGCTAGCCTGTGGCAAGCTAACTAGACAGGGAAAATGAAAATCATTTCAGTTGATCAAAATGTAAAAGCTAAGCAAAACGTATGCAAGTAATTTGTCACTTAAATCTTCCCCAAAAATGTGAAGCCTGTAAGCATTTGGAGTCCTTACACCTTCCTTAAAAATAAGCCTTGATCAGGTCTGGGTTTATTTTCCTTATGTATTCAGTCTACTTGATAATTTGCCCTTGAAGATAAAGTTCATTAGAATTTGAAGGATGGCAGAAGAACGACAGCAGACTGAGTAGCTAGCCTAATCTTTTTTTTTACAGACTCCTGTGTAGTGCTGTCAGTACAGTAAGAGCCAGGCAGATCTGTCAGAGGCGGCTGATGCTGGTGAAGTGACGATGTACCTCTGCATTACGTCTCACCTGAATTGTGTTCGGTTGCTACTGTCAGCCCCCTGTGCTGCAAAGTGATCACAGCTGATAGTCGGAATGTAAATACTCATTGCTCTTTGTGCCAGCCCTGGTTTTATTGGCTGTGCCACTGTAGCAGGAAAGCTGTTCCTTTGGCATGCTTTGGGGGCAGATGAAGATGCAGTCGGTCGTTAGCTGGTACGGTGGTACCATAATTGTGAGGACAGGCTGGGACTCTAGAGATCTAGGTTCAGTTTCCTACTGATTACCCCCAGGGGTTGAATTCATCTTTGAATCTTGAACTGGAAAGCACGCCAAAAGGCCAGTCTTCTGCCTTGAGGTATCATCAATTCACATTAGTGCATGTCCATGCATTTCGAGGATGCTGACCTGTTCTTAAAGGCCCCCAGCAGCACGGCTTCTGCAGTGTCCCCAGGCAATCTGCGGCATTGCTGAACTGACTTCACCTTTCAAACTTTTTTCAAATATTTAACCTCATTTTCAAAACAGGGAAAAAAGAAAAGCTTTACTATTTGTCCAGCCCTCAAAGACCTGGAAGCTGGAACATTTATTTTTTCTTTGTAGCAGCCTTTTATGTATTTGAAATATTTTACCTCCCCCAAGACCTAATGTTTTTTCTCAACTGGTCTAAATACTGTTTCAGTGTCTCCTTGTAGGTCTAGTTTTATTCCTCCAGATTCTCTGCACTTTTATTGCAATGCCTTAAATGGAGTGTCTCTGGTTGAGGCTGTACCTCAGCTATCTCTGCCTGTTTCCTATCTCTCTTCAGAGGATTCAGAGGATGCTTTATCTCACAGGTGTGCTGCAGTAAAATCTGAGAGATGTTCATGTTAATTATTGACTTGTCCTCATCACAGTTACCAGAAAGAGGCTGGAAAGCCATAAGAAAGATTTACTCGCAGTCCTACTTTTGTCTCCAGTATTAATCCTCAGTAGGACTTTTAACTTTTTTTTATTCAGTTTGTAGATTAGGAGCTTCCTTAGGAAATCAGAGAGAACAACCTGTGTGAGGGATGTGTGGGAGAAGAAAGGATCACTTCCCTTCACTGGATTGTAGAGAACATGGACTTGAGGTCAGGTGCAGCTGATGCCGTGGGAGCTGGCCATTGGCAACTGGAGTGCCACCTCTCCCACTGGTCTGAGGAACTGTTACTTTTCTGTCTGATCAGATGTTCCCACAAGCTGAGATATATAAAAATGTTCAAGCAAAAATCTGTTGTTGGAAGGAGGCTCTGCTACAAAGCTAAGTTTGGACTTCAGTTCTTACTTCCTTGAGTAAGGCCTTCATTCCTATCTAACTTTCTTGTTCTTTCTGTGCCACAAAAGCTGTTTTCCCACCTGGATGTTCCTCGTGGCTGTTCATCTCTAGAGGTGTCCTGATGGGCTCTTGTAGCTGTTTCTCTGGTCTGTTGTGCTGCAAATGAGGAAGGATATTATGACTGATTCAGATCACAAGATCTACAAGAAAAGAAGGAGTTGGATGCTCCTGTAACTCTGATGAAGAGTTGAGTTGGGATTATGCTGTGATGGGGCGAGGGAACTGTTCTTACTCTTTCTCATGGGAGCTTCCATTTCTGTACAGCCTGTTTGGTATGGGATTTTTTCTTTGTGGAGAATCCTGTTCCAATAAAGTCTCCAGTGTGTATGTGGGAGTACTGAAATACAGACAGTCTCCTGTGGAAGAGCTGCTGATCTCACAGCGTAAGCACTCTGTAAATAGCAACCTCAGTTTTCACAATATTATGCAATGGCAATGTTCGTTTTCCAAACATCTCTAGCTAGCCTGGCCTTTTGCCATTCCATTTCAAGATCTGTTAGTAACAGATTCTACTTGCAGCACCTAAAAGAGGACTTGGGGGGAAATCACAGTCCTCCTACTTTTGGCTGTTATGAGCCTCCACGCTCTAAAAATTCTGTCTGGAAGGTGGTTTGATAGACGCTGTGGAGTGGAAGGTAAAGGCACGCAAGGGAGATTGCCTTTCTGCACTTGCCCAGGGCAGCAGTGCTATGGCACGTCATGTGCCTCCTTGGGGACCGGAGAGCTTTCACTTGACACTCAACATTTGAGAGATCTGGTATTGCAGCAATTTATTTTCACCTATCTTCTTTTCTGTTGTTTTTTTTCCTTGTGGTAGTTCCTTCTCT